ATACAGAGAGAGAGAGAGAGAGAGAGAGGGAGGGGGGGGGGGGGGGGGGGGGGGAGAGAGAGAGAGGAAATCTGGAGAAAACAGAGGTTTAGGAAGTTATAGCAAATTAAACATTCTGCTATACGTGTAAAAGAAACTCCTTTACGAAACTGTTACATCAAAAGTAAAAAAATGAAAGGACAAAATGGAAAGCAGAGAAATTTGATTCTTTCTTAAAAAACAGAAAGGAAATCTTTGACATTCAAAGCTGAGGAAATGAAATATAGGGAGGATTGATCGAGTAAAATCTCCCTTTCCTTGCAAAGAAATGAAATCAAGAAAGGAAAAGAAATGTAGATTCGTTTCTTTTGATTGCATGTCATCATCAACCAACCACAGATTTTGTTACCAAGACAACCGAAAGTCAGCTTTTCTTTTTTCTTGCACAGCCAAGAAACAGAAAAGGAAAAGTAAGCCCAAAACAGGGAAGCCAAGATTGCATGAAAGCCACAACAATCAAGTCTTGAACAAGAAGGGCTGAAGCAAAGCATGCAGGGATGTGCCTGTTTGTACGAGTAAAATAGTAGAGAATTCGGAGAAAGAAATACCAGACAGAATGCTGGTTAGGGAAATTCACCAGGAATCTCGGATGAGAAAACAGAGACCAAGTTTGTTGTGTGTGAAATGGCACTTCTTCTCCAGTTGGCTGCTTGTAGTAGAGGACTTCGCCATCTCTTTATACACAGGGAGTTAATAAGCTCGGTTGTCCCTCTACTATTCAATGTTTGTTAGTATGGTCCCTCATCGTATGCTTTATCTTGATGCGACCCTTCTACGATCTTTTTGTCTTTCATTAAACTTCCGTCCGATTCACCCGAGCTTTACTTTAACGATTTATAATAAAGTCGACAAGACGGCAAAAATCTTTTCCTCTCGACCTTTTCTTGTGTTCTTTATCATTACATGACACCGATCCTCTATTGTCCCTTTAACACAAACACATTCTTACGCATTAGAATAAATCACAAGCATACCCAATATCCAATCCTATGCTCAAATCAAATCCAAATCCAATTATCTCATAGCTTTTGGTGAAGAGCAATAATTTAGACGACGAGTTTTCTGAATGAGGGATGACGATCCTATGACACTCGTGGAGTCGCTGGCATGCAATTGTTAATGCTATGGACACGTCCAATTAAAATAATTTCTTTGACTTAAACTAGAGGTTGCAATCAAACTAGTTTTTCAAGGCTCACCTCATATACGTACGTGTGTGTGTGTATAAATGCATTTTTAAGTTCACGATCTTGATTCCCATATAAATACTAATTTATTTGTGTTTTTAGTCTTACGAGTTTGGATATATTATGTGAAAAGATAATGAGATTTTAATTTAAAAGGATTCCTGTCCTTTCCAATAATTTAGTTTTTGTAATTCATTTTATATTAAGCATTAAAAAATAGCGATTCCCTGATCAACACTAACAGAGAGGAATGGAGCCAATGGGCAAATTAATAGATGGGAGGATAGTACAGGGGCTTGAGAAAATTATATGATGAAGTACGGAATAAATAAGAATTGAATAGTAGAGAGAGCATCGAGGTCATTATCCCGACACCCCCGGGGACGGCGGCGAAACCTGAAACACGTCTTCAGAATAGAACTGCGCGAGAGACTCTCCAGGTGGAATGGAAGTGGGGCCACGGATTTCCTCCTCCTTTCCGGTATTCAAGTTTGAAAAAAGGAAAGGATGCCGCCGTGCCTGCACGGCATTGACAGAAAATCTATGTTTTTTTTTTAAAAAAAATCTCTAAACTGGGTCGAAGTATAAATATAAATATATAAATATAAAATTAATCTACCATCCATTCTACTTTGAAAGTAAGTGCATATGCTCTTAGCTGTATGTAATTTTCCCGTCTTAATTAGTCCATTATAATATGATACTGGATCGGTGACTATAGAACGGTACGATTAGGACAACGAGGACAGAAACATTATTAAAAATGAATGGTTGTGGTTTCTGTCTAATTGACTTCAGGGCAAACTATTTATCTTATCATCCCCAGCAAGTTTATTCGATCAGAAAGCAGGAGAACAATATTTTTGTGTGGGGGCGATCACTTGTCCATACTTGAACGCTCAAGCAATTCTCAGATAATTTTGGATTAGAAATATAAATCATGGAGACCCCGAAAGTTGACTGTGAATGAATAATAATTAAATATTTTGATTGTCCCCCACGTAATTATGTAATTGTGGTATTTTTAATATTTAAGTATTTTTACATATAACATCATTCTTTATCCTTTGCTTGGATTCGATATCAATTGATATCAAAATTCAATAACTTCTTGATTGTTTTGGTCGGAGATTGTAAATGATATTTATTAGAGCTAAACAATTTTTTATACTTAAATGTATGTATTGTTAATTAATCATGGTCGGAAAAAATCACAAAACAAGATATATTCATGACGAACATAATGATGAAGTTCTCTTAAAAAAAATATTTTTAAAATACTAAAATATTATTTTTATTTATATCAATTGCTATTACTGAAAATCAAAATAGTGATATTATGGGTTGACTTGGCATAAACATATTGTATTAGAGATATATAATGGAGCGGCTCTCACAAAGATGATGTATTGGATGAGGTGGTTTATGCAAATGATGTTTTTAATCGATAATGGTCTTTGGCTTATATCTTAACTCAAGCACGAGTTCTTTTCAATTCTAGAAGATTGATGAAGCATCTAATTTTAGAAAAAAAAAATATTTTTTTTGTTAATTTTTATATCTTTTATTTTTATTTTTATTTTTTTTATATTATTATATTTTCTAGTTTTTTTTTCTATTTGAAGGGAATAATTTTTCTAATTTACCTTTCCTATTCAATATTACAAGGTTTTTGTTTTTTCTATATAAAAAGTTATAATAATATTTTTACAATAAAAAATAAATATTTTAGTTATCTTCCCTTGTAATTATGATTTTTTTAAAAATCTTTTTTCACATGTAATAAACTCATTTACCCTTCGCTAAACTCCTTTATCCTTCCTTTGCACTGCATCACGGAGTCTCCCAACAGATCACCACCTACGGTCCAGCCAATCCAACATGTGACTCTGCAAGCTTGTCCCTTTCATGAGTTCCCAACGAAATTCATGGCGATATACAGCCGTCTGTGGTGCACAACAATTGAAGCCAAAGTGAAGACGATTCGAAGTTTCTAGCAAGCTGTGATGCTGAATTGTTGCAAATTAGGGTTTGGAGGAAGGTATAGATGGCAGCAATTAGTAAACACGTGATATCACACAAAGTCGTAGGATGGACCAATGGTGATAATTTCTTCAGTCCATTTTTCTATGGAAAAAATAGCTTAGGAATTTGTTTTCTTCTTTGCTTAGAGATTACGTGGGATAATAAAGAATGCAATGCACTTGAATTGATCTCAAAGAAAAATAAATAAATAAATAATATATTGGCTATCATGATATTCCAGATAGTAGTAGTATATACAACTAAATTAAGCCTCCCACTTTCTCAAAACAATCCACACGTTATTTTTTGAGTTCATGTAGTTCTAATTGAAGACGCAGAATAACATGCTAATAGCAAATTAAGAAAAGACTAAAATGGATGGGGTAAAAATAATGTTAAATGTTGTAGCCCTAGTTTCATTTGCATTGTCGACTGAAATGGTAAAATTATGATTTTGCTCTTCTCGTAAAAAATATTCGGCCTAACAGTTGGGCGACATACGCAATATTATTCAATGGCCAATTACTAGCATTTGGGGTGGTGTTCGAATTATATTAGATTTCGATGAATAAAAGAAGTTGACAAACATTTATTTTTTTGAATATAAAACTCATTGTTGTTGGTGTTGTGAAATCACCCTAACATTGTTGACAAAATCAACAATGTTTGTCAATAATATTAGGCACAAATTTGTCAACAATGTTAGGCATAAATTTGGTGCCACCTACCTTGCTCTTGTCTTTTGCATGGATGTTTGTCTATAAATAGGCAATGCATTCAAGCATTATAGACACACCACAAGAGAGAAAGAAGAGAGGGTGAGAAGAGAGTAATCCCACAAAATTGTGAGGTATTTGTGAGATAGTAAGTGAGGTGTTTTCTCCTAATAATAGAGAGATTTTTGTTGTTCTCCTATTATTAGAGAGAAGTTGTATTCCCACATTACTTAGTAAAATTCTTCTATACTTGCCCGTGGACGTAGCCAAATTGGGTGAACCACGTAAATTCTTGTGTGTCATTTCTCATTTTATCTTGTCCCTTACCTTTTGTCTTGTCGGGTTTGCATGCCAGCATCCTAACAGTGGTATCAGAGCCTCCTGGTTGGTGTT